ACACACACACACACACACACACACATAGATACACACACACACACTTATATATAGAGAGAGTAGAACTGCCCATTATTTTCCTAGGTTGTAATGTAATCCTCATTACAACAGTTCACCACGGAGCAACTGATGGGTTCAGACCATCAACCTTCCTGTTAGCAGCCAAGTGCTTAAGTCTTACACCACAAGGGCTTCTTAATGATATGTAAATGTGCATGTGTGTGTGTGTGCATGTATCCCTAGAACAGTGCCTATTGTTGTTGTTGTTAGGTGCCATCAAGTCAGCTCTGACTCACAGTGACTCTATCTATATACAACAGAACAAAACACTGCCCAGTCCTGTGCCAGCCTCATAATCCTTGAGCCCATCTTTGCAGCCACTGTGTTAATCTATCTCATTGAGGGTCTTCCCATTATTTGCTGACCCTCCACTTTACCAAGCATGATATCCTTCTCCAGGGAATGGTCTCTTCTGACAACATGACTGAAGTAGGTAAGACGAAGTCTGGCCATTCTTGCTTCCAAGGAGCATTCTGGATGCACTTCCTCCAGGACAGATATGGTCATTCTTCTGGCAGTTGATAGCAGTTTCAGTATTCTTTGCTAGCACCACAATTCAAAGGGATCAACTCTTCTTTGGTCTTGCTTGTTCATTGTCCAGCTTTCACATGCATATGATGTGATTGAAAATACCATGGCTTGGGTTAGGCCTACCTTAGTCTTCAAAGCAGTATCTTTGCTCCTTAACACTTTCTAGATGTCTTTTGCAGCAGATTTGCCCAGTGCACTATGACATCTTGTTTCCTGACTGCTGTTTCCATGGGTGTTGATTGTGGATCCAAGTAAAATGAGATCCCCGACAGCTTCAATCTTTTCTCCATTTATTGTGGTATTGCTTTTGGTCCAGTTGTGAGGTATTTTGGTCATCTAGTTCCACGCTAACAGAAATAACACAAATGGGTGAATGGCTTTAACAAACAGGAGTTTATTCTCTTACAGTTTAAGAGACTAGAAGTCTGAGTTCAAAGTGCCAGCTCTAGGGACTGTAATGCAGAGCTGCTGAGACACCAGGACACGGAGTTGTTTCAGAGAAGCAGTTTATTAGCACTCCCGGGCGAGGTTCTCGTGCCCTAGCATCAAGGCCAGAGAAGTCGCACCCCCGGGCAGGGGGGATAGATTTTTATAGACACAGAGAGGACCTAACTGGGGAAACTAAGGAAATGGCAAGGTCCAATTAGCTGTTGGCACGGGTCTGCACTTAATTAGCATGAGGGGGCTTCACAGGAGGAAGTTTGTCATCACGTGGGACTTTCCAGCCTGGGCAGGTTTTGTCACCTTGGTTGTCTTATCAGGCTGTCTCATCGGGGCCTGACAACCAGAGGAAGATGCTAACTGAAATGTTGGTGGCTTGAGTTTACTCTGGCCTAACAGGGACTAGGTAGCCCCTTGATCTTGGGCTTCAGCTCTGTCCCTTGCTCCAGGCCCACTGAAGCTGGAGGCTTTTCTTCACTCAGGTAGCTGCTGGCTGCTAAGGCTAACAAACCCAAGGTTAACAAATAAAATGGCACAATTACAAGATTACCAAACAACATGGCAGGTCACTAGTTCAAGTCCACAGACTGTCCCAAGATTGGCAGGAAACATGGCAGGCTGGTGGGTTTGAACTGCCAGCCTTCTGGTTAGTAGTCAAATGCCTTAGGCAATATGCCATGATTTACAACACTAAGGATAATTATATCAGCTCACAAAATGGAGGATAATCACATAATACTGAGAATTATAGCCTAGACAAGTTGACACATATTTTTTGGGAGACACAATTCAATCTGTAACACTTGGTTTATAGACAATCCTTACACAGATCTGGCTTTTTCCATGTGTGTGTCTTTGTGTCTTTTCTGATCTCTTTATAATTTAGAAGTGATTAGGTTTAGGATTCATCCTACTTGATATGATGTCATTAATATAAAAAGAAGAAAAACTCTACTTACAAACAGGATCAAATACATAGGTAAAAGGGTTAGGAATTCAACACGTATATTGGGGTTTGGCGACAGAATTCAATCCACACAGGAATCTATCTTATATTTTGTGGTGGATATTTTTTTGTTGTCACATCTGTTGAGGATCTCTTCCTCCTCTGTTCTCAGTGCACATGACTTGGTGGCAGGTGAACTAGGTGGTCAATCTAGTCAATGTTGCATTTCTCTCTCTACAGGGAGGGTTATGTGATCCCAGCACAGGCATACAAGTCCTCCCCAGGAAAGGGCCTTCTTGATACTTGAGATGGCTGGCTTTAAGATGTGTAAACCTGGAGCATTGGGAGTGGCCTTCTTTGTCTCTTTGTGGAGCACCCTTTTGAGAATGAAGACAACACTGAGAAGCATGGAGCATGGCCCCTGGTGACATGGCTTGAGTTCCTGAATTCAACCTTGCTTCAACTGAGTAGTCTTTTAGATTCTCTATTTGGTTGAAATCATCTTGTGTTGGATTTGCTACCAAAATATACTGTCTAGTACACATTTTCTTTAAATTACCTTGGTCTGTGTGATTCTCTTTGATGCCATTGGTGTAATATAAGGAGTATACACAGACAAAGAAGGACCCCTAGTTGCACAGTAGTTAAGCACTTGGCTGCTAACCAAAAGGTTGGTAGCCTGCTTCCCTAAAAGATCACAGCCTTGGAAACCCTATGTTGTTGTTGTTGTTGTTATGTGCCGTCGAGTCGGCCCCAACTCATAGCGACCCCTCCTTGGGTTTCCGAGGCAGTATCACTACGGAAGTAGGATTGCCCAACCTTCCTTCCGAGGAGTGGCTGGTGGGTTTGAACCGCCAGCCGTCTGGTTAGCAGGCAAGTGTCTTAGCCACTATGCTACCAGAGCACCCTATAGGGAAGTTATATTTTGTCCTATAGAGTCCTTATAAGTTGAAATCAACTCAATGGCAACAGGTATATGTATAAGGCAACCAATATATGTTTACTGAATGCATGAATGACTAACAATTCTTTTTTTAAAAACAAAATCTATTAATGTAATCTGTTGTGCATTATCATACTGTCTTAGGAAATTCAAGTTCAACTAAGTGTGTCTTGACATAGGAACAAATCCTTTTGTAGAGAAATACATGACGTACCCCCAAGGATGGTTTTGGATGAACCCAATTGCTAAGAAAACTGCTCGTAAGGAGAGACCAGAGATTCCGAATCTAAAGACCTGAGTTCTTTTTAATGTAACTACCTGCACAATCTGCTCACCCCTTAAACTCCCTGAGCACAGCTCTTCACATAAAAGATGAGAAAAATGATGCCTACTCTACAGGATTGTTAAGCTCAAAGGAGCTCATTTATGTGAGTGACATAAATCAAGTTTTCTAGATAGCCGATTTCAATTGATTGATGCACACCTGCCAAATCACGGACCTAAAGGTATTTTAAATTCTTTCTCTAATCAAATGCAAAATAGGAGGCACATTTCACAAGGGTACATGTCAACATACACGATCACATCTGTGTCTGGAGTGTGACTTTTGCTAGATTATTCCTTGTGTTCTGTAAAAGGAGGGTTTCCCTATCACGTTATCCCTAAGGTTCCCTTAGGCTCTGCTACCCAAGGAGTCCAGAAGGCAGGTGAGATGCTGTGCATCACAAAAGTTTCGAACAGGCCCTTCAGCTATCCTTGCATCTAAGCTCTTGCTCCTTAGGGTACTTTTGGAGGCGTGGAGAAACACCTGCTCTCAGGCGCTCCTTGAATCTTGCTCCAATCCCTTCACTGGAAGGGTGTGGGAGTCGTTCAGTAGTCTCCTTGCCATTCCCTCGAGGGTGCTTTATGAGATCCGGTTTCAATCCCCAGTGGGTAGCTCTCAGGTCCCGTTACAATTCCCCGGAGCTCCGTGTGTGTGCAGAGGAAGAGAGCCAGGGCGAGCGCGAGTGTGGGGCCGAGGCTCTAGTTACGCCCCGCACAGCCCCCGCCAGCGCCGCAGAGAGCGCGGCAGGCCTGGCAGCGCCGCGGCCCCTTTAAGAGCCGGGCCCAGGCCGGTCGGGACGGCGGAGCCGAGAGCGCGGCGCGCCGCGGAGGAGTTGGGAGACGGCGCAAAAGTTTCCTCCCAACTCCGGCCCCGCGCGCCGCTGCCGCCGCCCACTGCAGCTTGGGGCCTGGGGCCGGCCCCCAGTCGCCAACAGGGCCGGGGCCAGGGCCCAGGGCCGGGCCGTCAGTTTTCGCTTTGGCGGTTGCGAAGCAGGCGCTTCGGTCGGGCCCGAGCAGGAGCCGGAGGAGGAGGAGGAGCCGGGCCGCGGAGCCGCCAGGTCCCAGGCCACTCGCCACCTGGAAGGTAGACCTTCCCGCAGCCGCCCGATCCCCCACTCCCGTCCCCCAGCCTGGCAGCCGTCTGCCGGGGGGAAAGGGACGCTGTCGCAAGTCCCCGGTCCGGAGGGGTCGCCGGGAGGAGGTGCCCTGGGCCTCCAGAGCCGCCAGCGCTGGGCTCCCCCCGAGAGTGGGGGCTGCACGCGTGGGGCCAGACACCTGTTCGGCCCGGCCCGGCGTGGTCGCCGGGAGCCAGGATGAAAGTGACTGTGTGCTTCGGCAGGACCAGCATCGTGGTGCCCTGCAAGGAGGGCCAGCTGCGCGTCCGCGAGCTCACGCAGCAGGCGCTGCAGCGGTACCTAAAAACCCAGGAGAAGGTGAGCGCAGCGCCCAGGGGCAGGAGGGCGCGGCGGGAGCAGAGGGCGCGCCTGCGGGCTACCTGCGAGCGCCCGGAGGCCAAGGCACCTGCCAGGTGCCCAGAGGACTGGGTGGTGACGCTCAGGAGACGCAGAATACTCTTGTGGCTTTATTGGTCACAACTTGTGGCCACAGGTTTTTATGTTGCTAATACAAGTGACCTGGGTGCCTCTGGGCGTTTTGGCTCAGGGCCCTGCCACACAAAGGGAGCTACAGCATCGGAATCACCTGGGGGCTCATTAGAAATTCACAATCTGAGGCCATAATGCAGACTCCTTGACTCAATCTACTTTTTAACAAGATCCCCAGATGAATGGAATGCCCATTGGATTTTGAAATGCATAGGCACTGGGTTGGAAGTTGCTTGAGGGGACATCTTAGTGCTGTTCACCTTCAAAGCCCGTCCCACTTTGGCTCTTTGGAGTTAGAAAGTTGATTGGTGCAAGTAACAGATACTCAGAAGTTAAGACTGGTGTGGCCTTTAAAGTTTCAACCTCATAAACTGTATTTTCTCAGTGACTTGGACAGGACCTCGGGTGGGAGGATGCTGCTTGCTTTCATCAGTCTATATTTTGACTGTTTTCAGCTCAATGACACACATCCTGTGAGCATTTGCTTTGTGTGTGGGCTGTGTCAGGTGCTGGGTGATCATCAGAATGAGGCTCTCTCCAACCCTGTCCTTGAAGTTTGGAAAAAGTGAAAACTAAGGTGACTTTTTTTTTTTTTTTTAAATTAAAGTGTGCAATGTACACTTTAAAGGAAGCTAGAAGATCTAGCTGGATGCTAAACTCACATCAAGTGTTTGGGTAGCACAATGGGGCTCTGTCTTCCTTGATGGAATCTTTTAAATTAAGGCATGGAGGTGCATCTTTATTTTATGAATCCTCAAATGGAACATCTTCTAAACTCTGAATTCTCCACAGACAGGGCAAGTCACAAACTGTTGTTTTAGAGGCCAGTGGTTTTATTTGTTCTCAAGCAGAAGTAAATAAAGATGTTGGGCGTTGGCCAATCTAGCGATGGAAGGATGTAACTTTCTTTTTACACTTTATAGGGTATGGAAGATAAGAAACAAACACTAGTTTTGTTTCTTTCAAGTGTATGAGTCCAGCATTTGGGAAAGTACCTGCACTTTCTGTGCCTCCACTAATAATATACAGAAAAAATTTTTTATTCTAGATAGATAGTGTTTGTTTTGAACAGTTAAGAGTTACAGAACAATGAGCAGTCTGTTAATATATTAAATATGATCCCCAAAATAGAACTTTTTACTGATGGACTTCAGATAGAGGAGGGAAAAAAAATCAAAATTGTCTATAAAGCTAGATGAGAATCTACTCCAATGTATCTTTGCCATTGCTACCATGGTATGTGGTGATTATATTTTGTATATACGAGTAAAAAACTGAAAAGTGATGTCAATAACCAATTGTCTTTGAAATCATATTTCATTAACTTCAAAAAGTGGGCTAAGGTTAATAGTAAGAACACTATTTTGGACAAATTGTTAAAGTAGATTTTGTTGAAGGATTGTCTTACTGAGATAAAGGGTTAATAAATATATCCCTCTAACTCGGAAGGAAGGTTGGGCAATCCTACTTCCGTAGTGATACTGCCTCGGAAACCCAAGGAGGGGTCTCTATGAGTCGGGGCCGACTCGATGGCAAATAACAACAACAACAATCTTGTATATTTAGAAGTGTAGGGCATGGAGTGATAAAGAAATAGGGGTAAGCTACAAGCATGTCAATAAGATACAGGGAATTAACTAGATGATGTTTAATTCATTGTAATTTGATCCTGAAAGATTTTTTTTTTAAAACTGTTGGTATTCTGGACTAGAAGCATAATTTATAAAATCATAGAACCTATAATATAAGTGCATTGATCAGTTTACTGTTATTACCAGACATTACATTTTTCAGTGTTTACATTTATATATTAGTTGAATGTGACATTTAAAGGTCACTTGCAGCTTATAAATCCTCCCTCCCTCTTTGGCTTTTAAAATCTCTATTTAATAAGTGGCAAGTGATCTTTTTCCCTCCCAAAATATTCCTCTTCCATAGTTTCATTTTAAATAATAATGTAATCACAACAAGGCGTAACTAATATTAAATGGTATTCCTAATGGGACTGAAATGTCAGGAAATACTCTGACAAAGTCTATGCTTTTATATATTGAATTTAGAAAATAATGGAAACAGAACAGAAATGTCAAAATTCAATTGAAAAAACAATTTGTAATACATTCACTATCTTTAAATCAGTGAAAGAGATTTAAAAAGCTTATTTCTCCTGAAACCAAGGTTTTAAGCCCTAAACTCAAAATATCAACTATAAGTGACATGAAATGTGCTTACTCTGTGCCAGGCACTGTTCTAGTTAATTTACATACATTAAATGACTTACTCCTGACAGTCACTCCATGAAGTAGGTATTATTGTTATTCTTTCCAATTTTCAGGGATTATCCACAGATGGGGAAACAGAGAAGAGGAGGCAATTTACCTGAGATTACGTGACTAATATGTAGTAGAATTGGGGTGTGGACCCCAGAGCTCTGTGGTTCTGTGTCCTTGTACTTGGCCACTAGCTACACAGCCTAGTTACTATGCTTGGGGATTTACTCATCTTACTTTGTTACAATTTGTTTTAAAAGAAAATTCCATCCACAAACTGTTACATTAATTAATATAACAACCTAAAGATAACAGTTGTGTCTTTTGTGGAGAGATGGGACATCTACAAGTTCCATTTTTGTATCTTTTATAACACATGTATACTGTTACAGAAGTCTGAGGCATGTATTGCAGAACTGCAAACAGATAAAATGTTATTACTCATTCTAGTTACAAATGGGTAATGGGTAAGATCTCTTGGACATCCAGGTAGAAAGTACTGTAAAAGAAACAAATTTGGCAGAACTGCCTAAGGCATTTGACTGCTAATCAGAAGGCTGGCGGTTCAAACCCACCAGCCACTCCTTGGAAAGAAGATTGGGAAATCTACTTCCATAGTGATGCTGACTCGGAAACCCAAGGAGGGGGTGCTGTGAGTCAGATCCTACTTCACCGCAGTGAGTTTGGTTTGGTGTGTAAGTGTGTTTCTTCCAGGGCCCTGAATAATAATTTAGATGGGGGAAGCAGGTTTTAAGACTGAGGAGCAAAGTTGAGGTTTCTGAAGTCTGGATGGTAAATGAAACCCAAAGAAGCCATTCTGGATTTTGTCAGCAGCATCTGAAAAGTACCGGCCACATGCTGAGAAGAAACAAGGCTGGGATTTGAGGAATGTGGGGAAATGGCTGACTCAGCATCAGATAAGGGCAGGAGTAGCTGAGATGCTGAAGAAATGGGGAGTTTTGTGGAAGGATTTAATTATGTTCTGAGTTCTGGGACTTCAAGGTTCTTGCCGCCTCTTCTCCCCCTCCCCCACTTTGCCATTTGATGAACTCCACTGGGGAGGTGAATTGACTGAGGGGTAAGAACTATGAGCTAGCTTATCTTTGGATCTTGGTAGTTTATCAGTGTCCTGGGCTCTAAAACCAATTTACTTACTGAAGAAGTGATTGTCTGCCTAAGTAGTCAAGGTGGGGATCGTTGAATAATTAAATTTATCATCAAAATTATTTGACCCAGGGGAATGCGTGATTGAGCTGTATCCTGCAGGGCCTCTTAACCCTGTCTGAACATTAAAAATCCTCCGCCATCCAGTCGATTCCAACTCATAGTGACCCCCCATAGTGTTTCCAAGCTGTGAATCTTTACAGAAGTAGATTGCTTCATCTTCTACTCACGGAGCAGCTGGTGGGTTTGAACTGTCAGCCCCCTGGTTATCAGCCAGATGCCTTACCCAGTGTGTCACTACCCCTAATTTTAACATTTTAAACAATGCAGATGCCTAAGTCTTCTCCTCTGAGATGCTCACTGAGAGTATAATAATAGCTCTGACTATAAGAATCAGCACCAAGGTGGATTCTGTGAGGCAGAGGTCAGATACATCCCTGTTCTCTGGCTCTAGCCATGGCCCCCCACCATGGCATTCTTCTGTTGGGTTCAATAATTCATCTGAATGGTCACAGAGAACTCATGGAAACAACATAACTCTACTAGCGATTTTAGTAACAAGATATAAACAGAAATGAATATATGCATGGGGTGAGGTTTGGGAGTGGTCCCAGCATGGGATCTTGCTGTCTAAAAGGGAGACTTGCTCATGTCTCACAGTGAACCCACTTACCCTTCCCAAAAATCAGTGTTCATTTTCATCCTTCAGGAAAGTTTGAAGCAGGAGGCTCAGTGACGTCCCTTGGTGGGCTGAGCTATGGGTTGCTCCTCTCAGCTGTCTGGGTTGGGGCTTTACACTCATCTGCCACCTTTCAAATATGCTCTTTGCCTCCACTTCTGGTACCATCACAGCCACTGCCTGTGTACCTGTGCTAGGTTTACTTGCTCTGGAAGGGTTATAGTGCAGGCCAACTTGTCATTATTACCTGTCCCTCTACTTCCAACCCATACTAATTCTTCTCATAGCAAGTGCTCAAATAATTAATAATTGGAGTGAACTTAGATTATGTATGTGTGTGTATCACTGTCTGTATATGTGTGTGTGTGTATGTGTGTGTATCACTGTCTGTATGTGTGTGTATATATATATATATATATATATATATATATATATATATATATATATATATATGTAGTAGATGAGGTTGAACTAAATAAGGGAAAAGCTTGTTTAGTAAGGAGTTGAAATCCCTCGAAAGCAGACTTGAGACAATGCCATTAATCTTTACATTACCTCAGATGGGGTTATAATCTGTTATATTGGTGACCCTTCCAAAGAAGCACAGCTGCAGGGATTCAGTCTTTCCCTTTGAATCTTGACTATACTGGTGACTTGCTTTAATATAACATGGCTCTTGAACATTTGAAATATGGTTAATGCAACAGAGGAACTGA